TGCGAAAAATGGGCACTACCTCAAAAAAAACTCTTAAATTCAAGGTGATTCTATCTTATAAAGCCTAAGTTGACTGAGTAATTAAGCCCAAGGAGTATCTCTATACTTAATGACCTAAGCCCAATTGGGTTGGGATTCATTGGCCCAAAACTCGTTAAATGGTCACTTAGAAAGCCCGTTAAAATAGAAAACAATCACCAAGAATTAGAGAGTGAAAAAAATATATGTGTATATATATAACACTAACCATTGTTTTTATATATATATTGTTGTTTTGTATATATGGTCTTGAAAAACAATTTTTGATCAAGAGACTTGAAAGTTATTTAAAACAAAGAGTTGGCATGTTCTTTTCAAAACTTTTTAATTAAATTTCTAAGATTTGACTTGGTTTTGTATTGCTATAATGAAAAAGATTTTCTAGGGGATTTATATTAGAGTTGTATATAAAAATGTTTCCTTGATTATTAACTAGCTTCAATTAGAATATTTAAATATATCAAGGAAAATATGTTATTTACTGACTTATTTAACTTGGCAAAGTTGACCAAATTTTGTGGGTATATTCACTGCAAAACCTCACGAGACTACAACTCGTCTACTGGGGTAACCTAGGGGTTTAAAGGCTTGTTGTATGCGCTAAATACAACCGCGATTCCTGCGAAAGTGAGTTAGGATTTTTTTTTTTATTTTTGCTAGAGGACTAGCAAAAGTTTAGGTGTGGGGGTATTTGATAATCATATTTTATTACAATTTTATACCCTCATTATCTATTCTATATGAATAAATATACCAAATGGATGGAAATATAAATAAATATTATTAAATATAAAAACCCCTCAAAATCTCTCTTCTCTATTTTTGTAGCATTTTAGAAGCACATTGAAGCAAAAAGCCAATAGAACCGGACTGCTGGACTTGGTTGTAGAGGCTTAGAATTTCAAAATCAAACGTGGACATGGATGCAAATAGTTAGAATGAAGTGGGCTTTTATGCAAAGATTTGAACTTTTCTCATGGACCGAATTCAATAGGAGCTCTCAAGAATTTTGCTATGGGCCGGTTGCTTGGGCTTGCTTGGACTTTTGGTTTTGAAAATCAAATGGAAATTCAAATTGAGCCGGACTTGTTCAAACTCCAATGGGCCGGACTGGATGAGTTGAAAATCAATTTAGATGGAGGAAAATCATGTGAATGGGCTGCTGGAGATGTGGATTTGCATTCTCAAAAAAAATCAAATGAAGACTTTGGTGTAAATAAAGGAGACCGGACTTAGCTTTCTAATTTTGAAGCTCCATTGGGCCGACTTTGCTGCAGATTCAAATCTCCATGTGGGCTGCAAATTTAATTTTGAAAATTAAATCTCCATGGACCGGACCTGCTGTAAGAGTTGGGGATTTTCATCTTTGAAAATCAAATAAATCATATGGGCCTCTTATGTTGGGCTAGAGAAAAATAAAAAACAAATTCAAAGGTGGAGATTGTTGCTTGGGGCTCAAGACAAATCCAATGGCTCATATTCATTGAAGATTATTATAAATAGGGGTAGAGAGTGAGGGGTTAAGGTGTGAAAAAATTTGTAACTCCTTTTGGAGAGGAGGACTACTCTTAATTGAGAAGGCCTTCCAAAAATTATAACTTTAGTTGCAATTAATAATAATAATTTTTCTCCTCTTTAAATTTGTTCTTTCTCCTCTTTGTTGAATGATGAGGATGGAGATGAAGAGAAAATTGAAGATTTGCATTTCTTTTCTCTTTTATTTCTTTTTAGTAATATCTTTATTATTGCTTATTAGTTAGATTTAAATTCATGCTTGTAGTGTAGATTTATTTTCTTGTCTTTTTATTTCTTTTTGCACTTTAATTTGTAGAGTAGATTTATTTTCTTGCATTTAATTTTTGTAATATATTTTGTAGTTTAGATTTTTATTTTCTTTGTAGTTAGATTAATTTCTTGTTCATAGTTTAGATTTTTCTTTCTATTTTTGTAATTAGTTCTTTTTCTTGTTTTTATTTCTTAAATATGTGAATTTAATTCTTGTGGGAAGTTTATAATTATATGAAACTAGTCTAATTTCCTTTATATTGTATGAATTATTCTCTTGTACTTAAAATGTTCATGTTTAGGATAATCAATTAGAGAAGTAATCGGTAGAAGAAGAATTTGATAATCTATGCTTATCTTAAATAGTTTGATAGGTTATGCTTATGAATTCTAAGATTATTATCATGTTGTTGTTCTTATCATGAATAGTAATTTTAACTTAGATGATAATTTGATAGGTTACACTTTCCTTAAATGGTTTGATAATCTATGCTTAATAAATCTAAGTTGAAATATGATAAAAAGAGAATAGTTTATATTTTGTAATTGAAATTGGTTAGTGGATTATATTCTAGATTTCTTACCTCTTTTGAATCCTCCATCTTGACTTTCTTAAATTTTCTTTTCATTCTTAGTTTTATTTCTTGATTTTATTAATTCATATTTCTTGCCTTGTGATTTTATTTATTCTTTGATTCTTTCTTCTCTAAAATTCAATTTATTATTTTTTGCATATATTCACAACAACCACTCATCACAATCACACTTATTTTTTATTCCTAATTGTCACGCACAAAACATAAGAACCATTTCTAATAATCCCTTAAAATCACCTTCCTCGTGGGATCGATATTTTTTATACTATAACTTGATAAATTGCGCACTTGCAATTTTGGTACATAATTATGCCGCATCAATAGGTATATATAAGTATACTCTCTCTTATATAAGTATATATATGTATAAGTATATATAAGAATACCCTCTCTTATATATGTATAATGTATGTATGTATGTATATACTCTCTCTCTTAGTATATATGTATATATAAGTATACTCTCTCTTATATAAGTATACATAAGTATACACTCTCTTATATATGTATAATATATGTATATATATATATATATATATACTATACTATTATATGATATAACGATTATATATATATGATATATAGTTACTCTCGCTTTATTATGTCATACTCACCTATTAATAAGTATACTTCTTCTTACTATATGATATAATATGTCCTCGGTGTGGTGTATACTCTCTCTCTTAGCTATATAAGATATATAAGTATAGTATATACAAACGCTATTTCTTTCCCATTGGTCCAACGGGCTAACGGCTACGTTATCGTATCTCTCTCTCTCAATTCTATAACTTATAAATATATACAATAATATTTACATATAATATATTTACTATAATATATAGTTACATAATAATTTAGTAAGTATACTATAACATAATTATACAAATACTAACTTAATATTAAACTAACTTTTAGTTTTTTTATATCAAAAAAAAGAAAAGAAAAAAATAAAAAAACCTGTTGCGACGATGTACTATCTATTTATGTGATGCGATTGAATTCAAATCAAATTTATACTATAATTTGTAAAATGATTATTATAATATATAATAAAGAATTACATTTTTATAATTTTTTATTTAATTTATGTTATGTTTAAGTGATTAATAAAAGTATTATTTTTTATAATTTTTTGTATAATGTTAAAAATTTAATTGAAAATTAAAGAAAATGATAAAAAAATATTTTAGAAAAATAAACCGGGCCGGCCCGGAACCGGGCCTGAGTCGGGCCGCGCAACCGGACCCCTGCTTGCAACCCAGCCGTCGGGCTCAGACCCGCCCGCCCCGGTACTGGTCGGCTCCAGACTTCTTGCCCGGATTTTCGGGCCGAGCCAGACCAGGCCGGCCGGATAGACAGGCCTATCCTTGACCTTCTTTCAGATTGACTTTATAGAGACTGGTCTGGATGGACAGGCCTATCCTTGACCTTCTTTCAGATTGACTTTAGAGAGCTTCCACATGGGGAATCTAAAAAAAGTAAATAGTGTGTCCGGGTCAAAAATAATCCAGAAACCATGGAAATTGTCTCGGTAAATAATTGATGTTTGATGTTGCGGATCTCCATGATTTTGATACTATACTAAACCTGACATAGTCGGAGAGATATCGTCAGATTTAGCCGCTGTCAGCGCTAATAACTCTTGAGGAAGCTCAGACCAAACCATTGTCATCTTCTCAATCCTCAAAATTTTGCTTATGGGTGCGAGAGATTTAAAAAAAAATATGACTCTGTTGTGCACAACGTTAATTATATAAAGAGGAAATTCAAGAAATACTATGAAAACCAAAGTTCCCCTTTACGCTTACTCCTTCCGTGTTTATTAGGCCCTAAACTTACTTAATTGCTGTTTTTTTTCCTTTGCATTTTGCAACTTTGCCTTAAAAAAGGGACGTGTCATACCAAAATCTTAAATTTTAACTAAATACATGTTTGGATAGTATTCTTTTATCATAAACTTGGAGTTGCCAAGTAGGATTAATGCATCAATTCTAATTCCCTAAGAATATGCTAACTTCACTCTGATTTTT